AGAGGCTACTATTAATATTAATACATACAATTAGATTCTAAAGCTTCTGATATTGAATGTTTCTCTGTTTTTCAGGGCTCATGTGATGACATTAGACCCAACTAGATAGTCTCTGTATTTTAATATCAACTCTGCCATGTAATCTAATCCAATCCCAGGAGCGATCGTCCCTCACACTCACAGATTCTGGACATTGGAAGGAGACATCTTTGGAGGGCCATTCTGCCTGATACACATATAAATGTCCATATATGTAACATACGTGATGAAATATGCACAGGAAAAAGGCTGGGAGAGAACACAGCAAAAAGTTACCTGAGGCTGTCCCTCAAGTTGGGATTACAGGAGACTTTTCTCTTTTTATTTATTTATTTTTTTTAGTCCCCAAATGGGTCACTGGGAAGGAACAGGAGACTTTTCTCAACTTCCCACTTTTGTATGTGGATTTCTCACGACGACTACAGTAGAAGGCTGTCAGTCTTCCTCTCAGTATCCACTTCCTTCCTTGCATGTCAGTGTCAAGACTTTGCTTTGAGGGCACTGTCCCTTTCTTCAGCCATTTACAGGGATGAACCCTGTCTGGTGTCAGCCAATCAGCACGTCCCATTGCGTTGGCACGGTGATTGGTTCAGGGATGGTTACATTACCCGATTTGAGTGTGTGACCCAGGAGGGGCTGTGGCTGAGGCCTCCAAGCCAAATGGACACACAAGCCTGGCAGTGCTGAGAGCTGTCACAATGGACAGATGATGCAGTGGGGGCAAGGGGACGGGGAGATGGTGGTCAGAAACTGGGAGGCCTCCTTGGAGGATGTGGAATTTAATCTGCATAGAAAGGATGGAAAGGACAAATCTCCTTCCTTGCTTCCTTCCTTCCCTCCCTTATTTCTTCCTTCCCTCTTTCCTTCTCTCTCCCTTCTTTCTTTCCTCCCTTCCTTCCTTTTTTATTTCCTTTTTTCCTTCCTTCCTTCTCTTTCTTTCTTTTGCTTTTTGTTAAGACGGCTTGGGCTGCACATAACGGAGTATCTGACCGTTATAACAACAGAACAAGAAGGGCTTGGGATTGGTGAAATCAGCATCTCGGCCCTGTCAGGGCTCCAAGCTGCTTCTCTTGTCTCCCCTTCTTGTGGCAGGATGGCTGCTATCACTCCAACACCACAGCTTTGCATGGGAATGTCCAAAAGGAAAAAGAGTTCCCTGTCTCTCCCTTCTAACCAGGATGGAAACATTCCCCAGGGTGTCCTCCCCATGCTGCCCCAGCAGACTTCCGTCAGGTCTGGTTGACCAGAACATGAACACAGGCCCACCCAATGTCATTACTGGCAAAGGGGGTAATGATCATTGTGAGTCCCCAGGGCTGGGGCACAGAATCAGCTCTCTGAACACCTGGAACCTGGACAAAATTCGGGTCCCATTAGCAAGGAAGAAAGAGGGAATGGCGTTGGTTGGTTAGGCAGCCACTGTGTTCCCAGCACTGAGCAAGCCAGGCACATTTCCTCCCTGCAGGGAGTATACAATTGGGCGTGAAGGGAAGGGAATATTCTTGGCAGGGAGGACAGTAGATGAATTTTTGTCAGGGCCCTGAGGGAAGGGACCCCTGACAGATATTGAGAGGACAGTCTTGATGCCCCCTGTCATCCACTTTGTACCCTTTCCCAGAGCCTGTTCTGCACTGAGATGCAAAACCTAGATCTTCCCCAGGGCCTCTGCTATGATCACGTTCTTTGGTCACAGAACTCACACACAGCAACAGTGACTCGAACCGTGCTTGCCTTGTACAGTGTCCAATTTGGGTTTGGAAAATGGGGGCTTATGTCCCAGGGTGGGGAAGGGGAAACAAGGATGAACTGGAAATGTGGTGGCAGCTGTATTAGTTTCCTAGGACTGCCAGAACAAATGACCACAAATTGGGTGGCTAAAAACAACAGAAATGTGTTCTCTAACGGTTCTGGAGGCCAGGAGTCTGAAAGCAACATGACCACAGGGCCATGCTCCCTCTGCGGGCTGCAGGGAAGAGTCCCTCTCCACCTCTTCCACCTTCTGGTGGCTCCCAGAAATCCTTGGTGCTCCTTGGCTTACAGCCCCATCACTCCAGTCTCTGCCTCTGTGGTCACGTGGCACTCTGTGTCCAAATTTCGCTTTCCTGTAAGGACACCAGTCACTGGGTCAGGGCCCACCCTAATGACTGCATGTTAACTTGATGACAACAGCAAAGGCTCTATTTCCAATAATGTAACAGAAGTAAGGGCCTGAAAAAGGGCAAAATGCACTACAAGTTGTCTCTTTTAACCACCCCTCCACGATTTTGGGGAATTAAAACCTGCATTCCTGCCCAGGGCCAGTAATCAGAGGGACAGAGGAATGTTCTTTGTTTTAAACCACAGGAGATGGCTCAACAGAATTGTCTGGGCAAAGGGTATGAGGACATCTTCACAGGAGATAAGGCCAACCAGGACCACCAACCATGGTTAAACAGCAATAGCCCAAAGTTGAAAACCTTATTTAAAAGCTCTGCATTTCTGCTTAACGGGCGGACAATGGGCCTTAAAGAGGAGAGTCTGCCAATCTCCTCATTTACCGGCAAATTAATAAATTTCTCTTTCCTTTTCCTCAAACCACTCTGTCCTCGTTCTTTGTTCAGCTGCAGGGACAAGTACCGAACTTCCAGTAACAATAAGGTCACATTCACAGAAGCCAGGGGTTAGGACCTCAACATATCTTTTGGGGAAACAAATTCAATCTGCAACAGCAGGGTAAAGAAGAGGAGAATGGGGGTGTGAGAAGATCAACGTCAATACTGCCAACTTCTCCTGTTGACTGCTCTCAACAGAGTCCAGCCGAGCCTGGGGAGACAGAGGGAGGAAAAAGGATGATCCTGGTACCCACAGATATTCAGGGCCAGAGCCATTCTGGAAGCAGGAGATTTGGAGTTGGCCATTACTCCCTGCTAAGCTCCCCACCATCCTGAGCCCTCTGTTTGTGAAGTGGGGCCTCAGTTATCTCCTTCAACACATGAGGACAAAATGCCCCCTGTGCCACTCCTGCACACTCCTTTCCCAGCCTGTGTGTGAGCTGTTCCCTCTGCCTGGACTCTTCCGCATCTGTCCCAGCCCCACAGGTGACAAGGCCAATACCTGCTTAGCTGTCCCATCCTCCCCAGAGTCTCCTCCTCCTCTCCAAGGCCTGAGTGGTTTTTTGGGGGAAAAAGTCTAGAACTACATTTTTCCTCTACTCTCACACTGTTACCAAAAGTTTGGTACCTGTCCCCAAGGCCGAATCAGTGAGAATGAAGAATGAGGACAAGTGATTTGAGTAAAAGGAAAGAGAAATTTATTAATTTGTTGGCAAATGGGGAGGGCAGTGGACTAGCGTCTCAAAGACTGCCATCCTGGCTTTAAGCAGAAATACAGAGCTTTCTAAAATGGGGATTTTCAGCAGTTGGGCTCAGGTCTACGTGACCAGCGTCACATGTTTAACTATAATTGGTGGTTTGGGTCAACCTTATCTCTGGTGACAGCAGTCTCGTGACCCTTGTCCAGACAATTCTTTAGAGACCTCTCCTATGATTTAAGATACTAGAAAACAAACAGCAAAGAACATTTTCCTGTCCCTTTGATTACTGGCCTGGGGGAAGGAATGCAGGTTTTAATTCCCCAGAAGGATGGAAGTTTTAGAGAGACAACTCAAAACATTTCCTTGCCCTTTTCCCAAACTGTACCTCTGTTTACACCACAACAGTCATCCACACAGCAGACTTCCGTGACCAAATGTGGGGGTTTTCCCCACACGCCAAGAGGCAGACTCCAGCTTTGTTACGGAAAGTCCGGTACTTTTCCCCCTTTGGTACTTGTCCCCAAGGCCAAATCAGTGAGAACGAAGAATGAGGATGAATGGTTTGAGGAAAAGGAAAGAGAAGGTTATTAATTTGCTGGCAAATGAGAAGGGTGGCAGGTTAGTATCTCAAAAGACCACAGTCCTGCCTTCAAGCAGAAATACACGGCTTTTAAGGGGGGTTTTGAGAGGTTGGGCTCGGGCCTATGTGACCTGTGTCACATGTCGTGGCCTTGGGCTATTGTTGCTTATTTGTAGTTGGTGGGTTTGGTCAACCTTATCTCTGGTGAAGATGATCTGGCTGTTGAGCCATCTCCTGTGGTTTAAGATACTATTAAT